CTGTAAAGTCTAAGCCCACGTTTACACTTGCGCATTCCATGCACACGCACCAAGCACACAGAAAACCACACGCATTGGCGTACATTGACAGAAACACTGCAAAACGTGAAATGTGCTTGCATTGCCATTCATTTTTAACCCCTTCATGACTGAGGTCTTTTTTTTTTCCACCCACGGGATAATCCCCATTTTTTTAGGCCTGAACATTACTTTAAACCCCCAAACGTTATATATTTTCTGAAAGTGAAGACCCTATAGAATAAAATGGTGGCAGTTGCACATTTTTATGTTGCACGATATTAGCGCAACTCCTTATCAAACCCCAACATAATGTGAAAAATGCACTTAAATGCCCCAAAACACAGTAAAATACCAATTTTTTTAAATACAATATAAAAGGTGAGGTTACCACGAGTAAATAGATACCCAACATGCCCAGGTTAAAAATTGTGTGCATCCATGGTGACATGAAATGGTGACAAATTGCAGTACCCCAAAAAGTCCATAGACGCGCTTTAAAAGCCCCCACAGATCATCAGTTTAGAGATACCCAAAAGTACTGGCCCTAGAATTATTGCTCTCACTCCGGCGTGCGCAGTGATACCCAACATACGTTTTCATACATAGGCGCACCCTGAGCGTGTTTACGTGAAGACACGCATGCTCGCGTGGGTGGGGTACTTTTAAAACAATTTGTATTATTATTTTTAAATTTCATTTTATGTTAATTTTAAAAACTGTTATTTTTTTAAAACTTTACTTTAATTGATATCACATTCCATCCCATGTGATAGCAGATGGTGGTGAAGGTACTCTTTAAGGTGATGTTGGGGGTCCAGAAGACCCCCAGTGTCCCCTTTACACTTCAAATAAGCTATTGAAGTGCAGATCGCACTTCAATAGCTTATAGCTGGGCATCAGACGCCCAGCACTGACAGCTATGGGACCGGACGTGATGCAATCTGCATCGCTCCCGGTCCCATAGAATGGGGAGGGGATTTGGCGAACGGGGGACATGTGGCATTTGACACATGTTAATGGGGACATGTGGCAAATGCAGCACACGCATGAGCATGAATGCGAACAAACACAAATAATGATTTACTAGTGTTATTTTCTATAAAGTCTAAGCCCACATTCACACCTGCGCATTCCGTGAACATGCACCAAACATGCAGAAAACATGGCGCAAACTGGCAGAAACACTGCAAAAATGCAAAACACACTTGCATTCCCATTGGTTTCTAAGAAGTGTGATATATGTGCTTAAAGTGTATGTGTAAGAAAAACTTTTGTTTTGGATAGGGTAGACAAGGGTAAAACCTGTCAGTTTGTTTTTTGTAGTTTCTGTCCCATTGGGAAGATTTCCCATCAATTCTTGTCCTTTACATGACAGGAAATCTCTACAAAGTTAGGGGAATCCCCTGTTAGACAGTTGATGCTAGAAACAAATGTTCCCATTAAAAAAAATACCTCTAAAATTTTGGATTCCCCATCACTTTTTTTTCTCGATAACAATAGCTATTAGGACAAACAGAAAAGGCTAGATCTATCCGCCAGGGACACTGACTGCAATAAAAATGTGACAGAGGTTTTCATTCTTTCCTACTGGAGCCAAAACTAAAATGGCTATGAATACGTTTTAAATGAGTAAAAAAAGAAAATACATTTTATTATGAATAGTAACTTATCTAATCTCTACTTACACCTCTCTCCCCTCAGCCCCCCTCTCCTCTGCTAAGCCAATACAACGAGAAGCCAATGCTTGTGAATGATGTGATGGTTTAGAAGATTACAGTTTTCCGTAGGAGGCTGCAGTCTTTGATCAGTTTAAGGAGGGTTTTTATTTCACCAACACCTCTTCGCTCTCTACTGGACTTAGTGTGCAATGCCGTATGTTTTAAGGAATTTTCATTATTTTTGCATTGCAGAGGATCTGAAGAAATGGGCTTTGATAAGCTAGATTCATCTGACTTTGTTGCACTGCCTTTTAGCCAGTCCTGTTTATCGCACAGACAGCCGTATTTAATGACCTATGTGAAATGTATTTTAACAATGTTATAGACCTGTAAAAGCCTCCCTTGACATCCAAAAGACCTGAGACTTCTGCTGGGTGCTGCCATCTTGGATGTGATGTCAGCAGCCCTAGTAGACTCAGAGCTGCCATTTAAGTAACACTGGATAGTATTCCTCTCCTCTTCTGACAGCTACACAAAGTAGGAGGAGCGGGGCTAGCACAGACAGTAATTAAACACTACCTGAAGAGGAGAGGGCTATGATGTGCAAGGATGTAGGGGGTAGTTCTGGGAAACGGACGTTCCTAGAGTAGTCAAATTTTCTAGCAAGTTTAGAGGAATTCCATTATTTGAATTTCAGGTTTCCTTTCTAGTCCTTTGCTAAAGAACAATTAATCACTAGAGCTAACCCCATCTCTATAGAATATGTATTTCATGTAAAAAAATATATAATTATAACTACATACAGATCTTTCTTATAAGGAAGCTCAGCAAAATTTGGTATGCCAATCTCATTTTCAGATTCATGCTGTGATGAATTAACATAGATGACTAAACCAGATAAAAAAATGAAATTTTATATTTGGATGGCATCCTAGGTAAAGTGACTTAAAAAAATAAAGGAAATTTAAAAAAAATGACAAAACTTCCTTTTATGGCTTAACACAGGCTTTTCTGTGTTTCAACTGCCAAATTCAACTTTCCTCAATTTAAACTCTGACATATAAGCTGCCAATTCCTAAATGTTTTGTGTATTAATAAGGTACCATGAATGAAAAGCAATACCAAGGAATACAGTGCTTGCTTTAGGTTAGGAATGCTTGTTCTAGTTTATTTTTATAGAACTTTCAACAATATATCTCATACATATCTTACAATGTCCTCTCGTTTTCAAGGTCAGCAATGTCAAACTGCTGAGATATATATATTTTTTTATCCTGGAAAAGAGATGAATAGTAATCTTTTTGTGTTGTGTTTGCATTGTTAATGCATTTTAACTCACATAGTCAAATTGTATCAGCTTTTTTTAACCTTTGCTGTAAAGTAATATAATATACAAAATTAGTAATGAAACATTTTAGTATGCCAATCAAGCTTGTCTGATGTGTGCAAATATATATCACCACCCCCTGTATGTTAAGCTGCAGAGTGACTAATCAGCATTTTTTTTATTTTTATCAATATGTATGTTACAGAGCAGTCAGTATCTTTCAATCTACAGAGTAGAGCACTAAATACATACATACAGGCCCAAAAAGAAGGTTTAAAACCTGACTACAGGATTTTTTCATAGACTGTAAAGGGGTTAGAACTGCTGTGCATTTATCGTTGTCGGTGTCCTACCTAGAGAATTTTTCTATCAGCTCCTGTGCAGTTGCCAAGATTGCAAATGTGTTACAAATGAGGATAAAGACAGCATATTTTTTTTTATTTGTTTTTGTATTGTTTATATTTCCAATAGGGAGATTTCCTTTCACTTTTTTAACAATGGTGACACAGGGATTAGGGAAGATTTCACCCATGACAATACAAGCTACAATAAAAACAGGTAACAATAAGAAAACTAATAGAGGTTCTAAGCTCTCCCCACACTATCCAAACAAAACAACAAAAACTTTGGGTTGGAGTCGTATTTTAACATATTTGGCAGTAGCTAGTTCAATATTGCTCTGGGCCACTTTAATAAAAAAGCAAAAAAAGCATTTGCCTCAAGCACACCAGGATAGAGGACCCATCAAAGGACTTTAATTTCAGCTTACATTGTGAGGCTGTTCAATTTTCCAGGAGGCTGATGTAATGCAAATGTCCTGAGGTCACATATGTAATCGTAAATTACTGATTTATAAAATAAAGCATTGGAAGTTTTATTGCCAGTGCATAGTATTTATGTAAGATAAGATAACAGAGGTTCCTAAATTTTGGTTACAAAATGTGATGTTGTAAAACACATACCTTAAAAAATCTAATCCATGATGTATTGGACATTGTCCCAGACACAAATAGCATTCATTAAAAAGCATTCTAAAAAGTTTAAAAGACTTCTGCCACCTTTCATTCCAAATGTACATAAAGTACCTCCAGGTCTATCCTGCTTCTTTTCACCTGCATAAGTTGTCTGCAACACATGTTAGCTATTAATTTCTGACCATTCCATAATGATTCATCACTTTTTATTTGTGTAATATTTTTAATTTAAAAATAAAATGCAGTCAAGATGTTAACATCAGCTGTTTTAAAAGAGGCACCCTTCTTGTATGCACCCTTCATAAGACCACCCATATGGTTGCATGTGCTGTTAGAAACCTAGCAGATGACCCACATGTTTGTGGCAGGACAAACAGCAAAAAAAGTCATCAAAATTGTGACTCAGTGGGGGTGATTTACTAACCTAAACACACGCATGCACCAGGTGCGTGTGATTTTCACACAGCAAAACGTATTTATCAACCAACAAGTCTCTAAAAGCATATTTCCACTAATGCCATATATGGAAAAATCATGCACATGATGCATATATAATGCTGCTTCACAGTTTAGACAAAAATGGTTAGCTCATGCATTTACATTCCTGCATTCATCAACGCAAGCAACACAACGTAGAGCTAATTTACACAACATCACCTTGCAATTCATGCAGGGCTTTGCACAACACACCTGCTGGGTGTGTACACACTACAAAGGTGTCTAGATTCCACCAATAGATCATGCTGGGAGGGAACACACTACAGAGGTGTATACTTGTTCGTGGCGTGTTTATAAGGTTAGTAAATCAACCCCAGTGTATCCAAACCCGGACAACTCCAATAACCAATAAATCACAGGTGATTCATTATTTGCTCACCTTACATGTGGGACAAGACAATTTCCTTTTCATATACATTAAACTAGAGCACATACAGTATATAAGTGGTATTACAACATAGCTTCAATGGAATGCAAAACAGCTACATAAAGTTACCCGTTAAAGAAGGAAAAGATACATACCGTACCAGGACGGGGATAAGGAATCCTTCCATCGTACTGTACCCATTTGTGATCAGGACTTTCTTTATGGGCATAGGGTCCATTGAAAACTCCCCTTATATCTGCCATGCTATATACACATACAGCAGATGCTTTAAATATAGAGCTAAAGGGAAATAGAAAAGATGATCAAGATGGTGTGAGCAATTAAAGTATTATACAATACTGTAAAATATTAGCTCTATCCAAAGGTGTAATTGCAGAGTTTTGTGGTTAATAAAAAACTCCCTAATAAAGACAAAATGATCATAATATCTTATAAAATCAATATTTCACAGTATCAGACAAAAACTAGTAGAAAAGGGTTTGTTCAATATTATATAGTCATCGCAGCCATATATCTTGCTGAAACAAAATAATGCAATAATAAGATCACATGGTGTATGCCTGCTTTACATTTAAAAGGTATATGAAAAAGCAATCTCCAGTCACATTTTCAGCTCACCTTAATTAGTCAAGATAGTTTCTAATATACAGTGCATTCAGAAAGTATTCAGACCCCCCTTACTTTTTTCCATGTTGTTATGTTGCAGGCTTGCAGCATGATACTACAGTTGTTTAAATTATTTTGTTTCTCATTAATCTACACTCAGTACCCCATAATGACAAAGTGAAAACAGAATTCAAATCCACAAGATGAGCATGTACTTGTAGGTAATGTTCTATCATTATTTAAGAAGGCCAAAAAGCTAATACAAGGAAATAATAAGTGGTAAGCCTTACTTCTGAAGTGTATTATTATTTGAAGGTATATACTGTACATAGACCACATATAAAAAAAATGGAGAAGAAAGAAAAATCCAATAATATAGAACTAGCTTAGGTCCATGTAATATAAGTTATGTCTGACATCTTTTTTTTGAATATTATGTATCTGACATATCTGAATTTTCCCATAAGCAATTCATATTGTGTCTCATTAATTGCTTGGTGCAAAAGTAGTGGGTACAAAGACTAAGTAAGAATGTCTGTTTATAGATGGTTAACTGGTTAAATGATGGAATAAGAGTTTATTAGGGGTATAACAGAGTATAGTCATAGTAAGCAAAAGGGAAGAGTTGAGTGCCACAATGATTGGTATTGGGTCTAATTCTGCTTGTCTCTAATTTCAAAACTGTCAATAATTTATTTGGAACAAGCATGTATATTGGAATGTTGGAGTGAAATCAGGACTCCCATCTTCATATCTGTTCCAGGTTAATGTATATAAAAGGTTTTTTTCAGTAATAAGGCCATCCTCCATACTGACTTTTTTACAGGTTTACGTAATAAACTGGTAGATAAGAAGAAGGTTTGCCTGAGGACGCAAATTATATTACATAATTAAACCATAGTAGGAAAGTAACATAGAATTCAATAAATGTGAATTAAAAAAAGGAGGCAGGTAAAAGAGTTATTAAATTAACTTTTATGTCAAAACTATGTGAAAGAAATAGGACATGAGTTGTGTATAAGGCAAAGATGATTTATGGAACCCATGGAATATTCTACCAGATAAGATAATAAAATGTAAAAAGGACAATGGTTTTCTGGTAACTGCTAGAACCCATGGTTAGGATTACAAAAGGATAGCATGGAAATTGTTTGATCCAGGAAAATGATCTGACTGCTTTTGTGGGTTCAGGAACATCCACCCTTCTCCCTTGCAGGCTCTTTCCAGTAGTTACTAGAAGGTTTTGTTTTGCTTTCCCATCAACTACTGGAGTTTGGAAGAGATTGCATTTGAATAACTTGTGGTTTTTTTGTGTTTAAAGCAAGGCCATTCTAATAGCAATAAATAGAAAATCTTTGTACAACTTCACATATACAATCATTGTAATCCAACAGCAAGTTACATATTGCACAGGGCAATGTGACTCAATGCTTATCTGTTTTAATCAGATTGTGAGCGATGGAGATCTAGATTTTACTAATCAGCCTCACTGTATTTAGAACACAAACTGAAATACAACTATTTAAATCAATACCTTGTTGTAGTGAAAATTCCGTACACAACTGGGTTCCTTTCATCTTTTGTTGGCAGCAAAAATATATCCTCTGTAAAAGGTAAAATATGAATTAAATAATATTAGTAGAATAGATTATAGCATAAGCACATTCAGTGTGTTTATTGTTTAGCTTAATAGTATTACTTGCTTAGTAAACAATGTAATTATAAACAAAATGCTCAATTACAATCTTCTCAGTAACCACCAACTGGTAGATTGGCACATTAAAAAAAATCAGCTGTTCTAAAACCGAAATACAAGCACACATTTGTGGTTTTCCTTCATCAGTAGCCCACAGTAACTGGATGAAGTACTGCTAAACTATGGTTACTATTCATCTTTGTTTCCCGTTTTGAAAGGTCCATCCTGGGGAAAAGTGCATCCCTGGTGGTGCTCCCACTGGCAATGAATGCAGTTCAAGCAAAGAAGGTAAACCACTCCTTAGTTGCCTTTTTTCCCTGCAGCTCCAGTGAGAACATAGCTGAGAATTTTAGGGAGTAGAGCTACTGCTGACTCCCACGCCCCAGAGAGTTGAAGTGGGAAGACTCTATTTTCACTGTACATATGATCATGTTTTTTGCAAATAGAGGATCATTAAATTACTTGACTGTTGATATCCTGACTTGCAAGCAGTTTTTGATGAGCTGGCTCAGTATTTGAACTGTTCTACCTTTTTCAAACAGCATCTGGCCAAAGGGAATCTGGGTAAGATATCTCTGTCTATGAGACATTTGAATGGTGATCTGCATCAAGGGAAAGAACTGGAAGTGCAGAAACTTAAATTGTTTACCTAATACAACATGCTCAAGCAGAAAATTGTATACATTACCTCTTGTTACAAATGTCTGTTGCATGAGGGTATGACTTATGGGTGTGGATACAAATGGGGTCATGTTTGTTGGTCAGTAGTGTATCTCTGGATTTTATTTTTAAAATCTGGCAACCTTATGCTAAACTGTTTACAAAATATATGAATGCTAAGACAATATGGGAGAGTAAGGTTCTTTTTTTAATGTACAGTTGTAGTTATGTAAGGTAAGCTACACAAAAGTAACACTGAAAACTATGCCTTGCAATTCAGAAAACACTGCCTGCCTATGCAGGGTTTCAGTAATTCATCAGGCATAGCTGTAGTCCACAAGGCCGCCACCACACTTCCTTTTGTCATAATCCTGTGAACTAGGAACCCTGTTTGCTGGCCTAATTGTACTACAGGAGAATCACACAAGAGAATCTAAAATTTCTCCAGGGTTGTAGTCTGAAAACATGTGTAATTTTAAATATTGCGTATCACTATTTTTTTCCACTAAATATATATGAGCTGCTGTAATTATGTTCCAAATGCATAGTTTTCACACTGTTTACACCAAATGGAAGTACATTATAACACTATACTGTATGTATGAAAGCAAAGGTCTAATTCACTTAAATCTTAGTAGGTATCTATGGCAGTTGCAGCAATGTACGTGCACGGGAGCCATCACCTTCTCACCATGTCAGCACAACTCTTGCCGCACTGCATGCCTAATAAGTATGTGTGTCTTGAAACTATTTTAAGTTGTGTCATGTAATTTATTTAAAATAGTCTGTTATTGGTATTGTATTCCCAAAAACACACACTATAAGCCCCCTGTTCTCTTTCACATACAGAAAAAAGGTGTTCAGTGTTCCAAGCATTATGCTAGATCTATATGGAAAAAAGTACTTTAGTAATAGTATGTAGAGTATAATGCTTTCAACATGCCATTATACTTATTATTATTTAATGGCAATATTGTTTTATTACACAAATTAATATTATGATATCTGCAGGCTGCCTTGGCCAGTAAAAACCAGACATGTGTCAAGGAATATTTGTAATGTCATAATTCTTAATGGCTGAAATGTTTTTGATGTGGAAAGGTAACAGTATTGTCAGATTCTCTTATTTGAATGCATGTTTATCTATTCCAGTATGTTTCCATAGCACTTTACTTTATTAACCAGGTGATGTTAGGAGACTCTTTCCTGAAGCAATGAGCTGTATTTTCTTGTCAGAGAATAGCAATCACAGCCGGAGATCAACCTGATAAAATCTAACAAGTTTTATGTACATCTCTAAAAGATGAGTGATGAGGTAGATTACAAAACAACTTACGCAGTTCATCAAAGTATGTGTCCCCTCCATCTGGTCCGGGGATGGAACACACCAGACGTGCTTTTAAAAATGTAGTCCATTTATTTATCAAGCTGCGCTGCCCTCCGATATCATTCTAGAGGAGATATAACATTTTAGCACAGTGGAAAATTGTATCCCTTTGATAAGAACAAAGGAACAGTAATAGTCATGGTATGTTGGTGCAGGTTAGGGCTTTTATCACCATTAATTTTCATAATTTGCTGCATTATTATGTATAATTTTATATTACATGTTAAGACACAAATAGTATTTTTAGAGCTATTCCTTGCAGCAGCTATGCTAAAGCTATACTTTAAATAATATATAAATATTGTGGAACCAAGTTTTTTAATTAATATAGAATGTAGAAACTGTGTAGCCTACTAAACATAAACAATAAGACAATAGATATAAATATAAACTGATATATGACTGAATTATATATTGACATTCACAAATCCATTTATTATTATTGATTTTTGCTAATAAACCCTTTTATTAGCAATAATTCTCCTAAATGGCCTTGAAAAAAAGACACACACACACACACACACACACACACACACACACACAACACACACACATTTTTTTTTAC